CAAATTCTTTCATAAGTACGACATTCAGACATCATTTAAAACAAGGAACACAGTGGGAAATATATTGAAAGAGAAAATAAGCGAGGAAGACCCGCTAGATAAACATGGTGTTTAAGAGGCTGCAATAGAATCGAACTTCGCGAATCACATGATCAAAAATAAATGCACACCAATGAAGATTGGACAAACAACAGAACTTCTCCGTGTACAACATAAAGGACAAAGATTGAATATATTAGAAAATATGGAAATATATAAACAGAAGACCTTCAAAGGACAAATAATAAATGAGCAAATAAATACTGCATCGGACGTACTGTTTGAACCTCTAAAACTACTGTACAAGAAGAAGAATGACAACAACAAAATATTAAGGACAGATATGGAAGGGAATACACCAACTGCAAAAACAAAGGGGGTAAAAATCACGGACTTCTACCTGCCGTCAAAAACGAGCCAAAACAATTCATCTACCTATTGAGTAACGCAAACACTGCAAAACTAAAAAGACGTACCTAACAAAAGAAAGAGGTAGATAACAAGGAGTATAAATACGAGCAACCAACAAAAATTATGCAGAACGAAAAATGACACTGAAGATGGCACATCGCCGAAACCGGTGTGTCTCCAAACCAAATTTGACAAGGGATGACGGAAATTCGTTCCATAATACATCATACACCCACCCCGTCGGAAACAACAACAACCAAAAAGGAAAAAAAACATAACGCTAGCATAAAAATCCAATCGCGCTTCATCCACAGTCTTTACAAAAACCAAAACCCCTATAGAAACCAAGCAGCGAAACAATGTGGTTTATGAAATAAAGTGCAATGGTCAAGAAACTGAAAACTGCGAAAAAGTATACATTGGAACAACAAAGCGAGCCCTGGGCACTCGTCTAATGAATATGAACAGACATTAAAAAACAAAAAACAGCACAGCGCCAGCACAATATATGAATACCAGTGGCCACACAGCTGATTTTGCGAACACTAAAATAATTGATGTAGAGAAAAGAACAAAAACAAGACCCACATTAGAAAGTTTACGAACAATGCAGAAAACGGACAGTGCAATGAACAAGGAATAGGATACTGATGTCATCGCTGCAGCTTACATATTATGTTTATGAAAATTGTTTTACATTCAGTTTAGACGAAGCTACCACAAATGTTGGTAATGCGTTTTATTTTTAAGTTCCATAATTAAATGTTAAATGTAATGTAAGTTAAAAAGTTTCTGTTGTAAAATTGAATCATTTATTTCTAAATTATTCATATTTTTTTTTCGTTTCTGTCCTTGTTTGGTTAATGTTTTATATTTATTGATGTGCAGGTTAATAAACAAAACTATCCCCTGAAGATGCTAAAAATCTTAGCGAAACACCGGAAAAAAGTGAAATAGAGTATTTTTATTTACACAACGGTTAGATCAGAAAAGCCTAGCACATATTAATATTTGCGTTGTCAAGCGCCATTATGCAAATTTATTAGTTGTGCGCATGCGTTGTCAGTCAAGTCGCAAACGACCAAATACGACGAGGAATTTCGAATACACAAGCACTTACGATTACTACAAGCAACGTGTATTATTTTCTTTGCTCGTTGGCGTAGCGTCGTGACTGTATTGCGCGATCGTGGCAAGTAGTGCACACAATTTGGCTCAACAGAAGAAGTATGACTAGCATTTGCACTCGCGATGAAGAGTGGTGGCTTTGCAACCCTTTAATATCTATACTAATTATATAAAGAGAATCCCCTTTTTGGTAACTGGTAATCTCTCGAATGGCTGGTCCGATTATCATGAAATTTTGTATATAAATAGCTTTTAGCAACCACCATGTCGTAGGCAAAAAAAAATTAAATTTTTTCCGGTAGGTGGACCAGGGATCAATCTATTCCAAAAAATGTTATTATGCTCCGATATGCTTAAAATTTAGTACGTAGGTAGCCTTTTGCCTAGATTAGCGAATATGATCCTTTTTTCCGGGAAGTGGACCAGGGACCCATCTATTCTAAAAAAAACTTATTTATGGTCCGATTTGCTTAAAATTTGGGACGTATGTAGCTTGTGGCCGCTGTGGTGCAGTGTAAGCAGTGCGCGCTTCCACTCCGCAACACCTGGGTTTAAACCCTGGTCAAAGCACATCGCAAAAAATATAGAAAAAAGGTTTTTTCTTAACAGCGGTCGTCCCTCGGCAGGCAATGGCAAACCTCCGAGTATATTTCTGCCATGAAAAACAGCTTCTCATAAAAATACCATCGCCGTTCGGAGTCGGCGTAAAACTGTAGATCCCTCCGCTTTGTGTGACAACATCAAAGCGCAAACCACAAATCGGAGGAGAAGCTCGGCCAAACACTAATTAAATGTTAGCGCCAATCTATTATTATTATTATGTAGCTTTTTGCCTAGATTAGCGTATATGATTATTTTTTTCCGTGAAGTGGACCAAGGACCGATCTATTCGAAAAAATCGTCTTATGGTCCGATTTGCTTAAAGTTTGGTATATAGGTAGCTTTTAGCATAGATTAGTATATAGGATCATTTTTTCGGTAAGTGGACTAGAACCGATCTAATCGAAAAAATCGTATTTATAGTCTGATTTGCTTGAAATTTTGCACGTGGGTAGCTTTTTGACTAGATAAAAATACAGAATCCCTTTTGTCCGGTAAGTGGACCAGGGATCGATCTATTCGGAAAAATTTTATTTATGGTGCGATTTTCTTGGATTAACATACAGCTTACTTTTTTTCTGATAGGTGGACCTGATACCGAGGTATTTGAGAAGTAGGGATTATTGGAAAGGGGGCGTGGCAGGTTCCAAACATACTGAAACTTTTAACTATCTGTAAATAAATATCGTTACCTTAATTTACAGAGGCCCTAACCAACACTTTTTTCGAAACTGCGGTTTTCACAGATGTTGGTAGGATGTATCTATTAAAATACACCTTCAATAAAAATTTTAAAGTGTTAGTACTAAAAACAACGGACATGCCACATGTTACCTATTTATGATACTCATTTTATAATGCATTTTGCTTCTGCTGTAAAATAAAAATTTATTGGTTAGGTCAACAACTTCAAAACGCCAGGTGGCGCTGGGGTTGGGTTCTTACTAAAAATTATTTAGTGTCCGTATTGGTAATGGTGGGGGCAATGTGTACTATTGCACAAAAAGAGCTGCAAGGTGGCGCTGGAGTAGACTTATTAGTAAAAATCGTCAAGTGGAGTCACTCGGCGACACCAAGGATCAAGGTTAAATTACCACCGTTAAATAAACCACCAGAACCACTGCGGTTCTTGCTTTAGGGCGACTAAACAGAATAAAGATAATTGTTGATAAATGCCTACAAATTCAATTGTAAGATATATAAGGTATTTCGTCTGAAGTAAGTCTATGTATATTTGATTCCTGCGGACTCCCATTTTGAAATTGCCACCAACTGTACTACACAGACTCAAGGACGATTCACCATCGAACCAGATCATTGTTGCCACAAGAACTTCTTCACCGACATAACTCTTTCATTAGGTTATTTAAAATGGCGGTGGAGGACATGCCTTCTGACGGCCACAAAACCAAACGTGAACGTGAATTGCTGGGAAAACGTTGGACCAAATGTTTAAATAAAAAATTAAATTTTGGAGGGACGATGTCCGCCGGATCTGCTAGTATTTTATAAACGCAAAAGACACCGTTAGATAGCTTGTTTTACGAGCTTTCTACTGCTGTCCGTATGAATGGTATGGAATGAGTGGTGCGGCCTCAGTAGCTGTTTAAAAAATGTTTTTTTTTTAGAATTCCAGTATCAGCAACGGCATCCGAATCGAAACATTCTGGAACAACATCTTCTTAATTTTCGTATGGAACAATTTTGTTCCAAGGAGCGATTAACGGTTAAAAGTCAGCTTTAATATCTGTCATTCTACTTCCTAGAGCATCTTTGAAGATGTATTTATACTTAAAAATAACATACACACATTTGTCGCTTGGATATTTTTGGGGGTTAAGGCTCCATATTGTGGCGAATACTGCGGCAACACAAAGCGAACAACGAGAAATAGGCA